GTGTGTGTGTGTGTGTGTGTGTGTGTGTGTGTGTGTGTGTGTGTGTGTGCGTGTGTGTGTGTGTGCGTGTGCGTGCGCTCTCTCTCTCTGTGGGAGCTTCATGCTGTGGTCATTTCCCTTCTCATCACCATGGAGGTTTTTCTTAGATCGATGAAGGAGATTTTTGTCGTAATTAGAAAAAGGATTTCAGCTCCACTGAAGCATGTTAACTTTTAGGTTGTTTGGCAGCTATGAGACACTGTACATTTAGGTTTGTCTTCATCTGGGGAACTCATAGCTGACAAATAATTGAAAAAACAGTAGAGTCTGACATTTAAGGGAATTACTTCACCACATGATTGAAGAAAATTGGCTCATATAAAGAGCTGCGAGGCAGAAACCCATTGATTTGACTGGAGTTTTGCTGCAGTGAAATAATAATGAAGTAAAACAAGAAAAACAGATTAAGAAGATCAAATTGGATCATGTGCAGTTAGAGATCTCTAATTTATCATATTATAATCATATTGTTCTGTATAATTTATAACGTCTAACTATAAATGGAGGAATCTCTGTATTTTGATTTTCTCCACAACGGCTCATCTGATCAACTTCAAACTTGGCGGGTTTATTGCTGCAGACCCAAGAAAGTGCAGTGATGACTGTGAATGAGTGGTTCTCATGAAAACTTCAAACATTTTCTATTTGTTACTTGACGTCAGGAAAAAGGTGGAACTACACCACAAGGGCAGTTTAGCACCCGGACGATTTAGAGTGTGCATTAGGGTTTTAAGAAAGGCGGGATTCAACTGTGACGGCACTTTTTTACGGCTTCACTCAGAGGCTGTCTGAGCGGAGCAGCCAACTGTAGTAACAAACGAGACTGACTGACCACACACACCACAGGGAGTATTGCTCAGGATCCAAGGACGGGCAGTGTGAAGTTGTCGACCAAGTGGTCAGCCTCCACCGTCACGCAGGCAAAACAGACAAAACAAAACGTTTGTCAGTCTTATTCAGTAAGATGTCTGTGAGCTGACTAAAACCTGTATTTGTTATTGATTGACCCAGAATCTAATAAATGGAGGAACAGCCCACAGCTGGAAACATCTTAAAGCAACAGTGAAAGGTGGTGAGAAAGATAGATTAGAAAATGGAAAACAACATTAATTAAGTGTTAAATCTATAGAAAAACATTTGTGTTTAATTTTACGTGTCAAAGTCCATATAAGAGTGACAGAGTACTTTCAGCCCTTGAAAATACGACCAGTATTTTTTGGCTGTAGAGAATCTTTGTCTGAGAGAATAACTGAAGTGACCAATCAGCTGAAGACTTAAAAATTGTGGGAAAAAAAAGAAAAATGTATTTAAGACCAACGAGCTCTAGATAAAACTGTTAGCAGAGGATGGTTTCGATCCATCGACCTCTGGGTTATGGGCCCAGCACGCTTCCGCTGCGCCACTCTGCTGTAAATCACCCACAATCCCTGGCTTAGGAGGCCAGTGCCTTATCCATTAGGCCACTGGGGCGTCACATGTTGCTCCTGGCACGCCAAATTCGCTGTGGCTATGGTGGTCAAGGATGTAAAACCTGGATGTTGGAGGAATTCAAGGAGGCCATGGAGAAGAACTTCTGGCCTCACGGAGTCCCTGGCTTAACAGGCCAGTGCTTTATCCATTAGGCCACTGGGGCTCTTGTGAGGACCACTTCTGTTGATCTGCAATAAGTTCTTCTAGAAAGCATTATTCTTGTCAAAAGGAGACCTTTGAGGTTGTTGGGGCTCCTTCCATTGGTGGTCTTCCAGACGTCCAACTGGTCGGAGGCCTTGGGTTAAACCCAAAGTAGCTTTGAGTACAGTCTGAGATGGTTTGCACAAACAGGTTGTACTTGTACTTGTAACTATGCTGTAAAACTGTTAGCAGAGGATGGTTTCGATCCATCGACCTCTGGGTTATGGGCCCAGCACGCTTCCGCTGCGCCACTCTGCTGTAAATCACCCCAGATGGGACTCGAACCCACAATCCCTGGCTTAGGAGGCCAGTGCCTTATCCATTAGGCCACTGGGGCTTTACATGTTGCTGACTGACTAGTTCCGTCAACATACAGTGAGTTCCAATACAAAGTTAAGCCACAAACATTGGTTGTGGTGGATGCTAAAACCTGAATGTTGGAGGAATTCAAGGAGGCCATGAAGAAGAACTTTCAGCTGGACTCACTGAGTCCCTGGCTGAAGAGGCCACTGGGGCTCTGTGGTTATAAGGACCACTTCTGTTGATATGTACTAAGTTCCTCTACAAGGCAATTTTATTATAACCTTTTTTATTTCTGTCAAAAGGAGACCACTGAGGTTGTTGGGGCTCCTTCCATTGGTGGTCTTCCAGACGCCCAACTGGTCGGAGGCCTTGGGTTAGACCCAAAGTAGCTTTGAGTACAGTCTGAGATGGTTTGCACGAACCAGTTGTACTTCAGGTAACCATGCTGTAAAACCGTTAGCAGAGGATGGTTTCGATCCATCGACCTCTGGGTTATGGGCCCAGCACGCTTCCGCTGCGCCACTCTGCTGTAAATCACCCCAGATGGGACTTGAACCCACAATCCCTGGCTTAGGAGGCCAGTGCCTTATCCATTAGGCCACTGGGGCTCTGTGG